GACAGTCATACAGACAGTCATACAGACAGTCATACATACAGTCACACAGACAGTCACACAGACAGTCATACAGACAGTCATACAGACAGTCATACAGACAGTCATACAGACAGTCATACAGACAGTCATACAGACAGTAACACAGACAGTCACACAGACAGTCACACAGACAGTCACACAGACAGTCACACAGACAGTCATACAGACAGTCATACAGACAGTCATACAGACAGTCATACAGACAGTATGTATGCCATTTAGGCTTTCAAAATAGTCACCACGTATTGCTGCACGTGCGAACTGATTTCCAAACATTCTCCATGCTTGTGTCAGTTACTGCATATTCTTTTTTTTTTTTTTTTTTTTGAATGGGTACACATATTATTAAGCAAATAAAGATAAAAGAAATTCCACACTACAAAAACGGCAGCACCTGTGCAACTGTAAATTATAAAATCTTAAGGACATGTGAAATCTAGGGCCACATGCAAAAACTCGTGCTGGGCATTTACAGCTCGCTCTTCAAGCAGAACAGTTAAGGAAGCCAGCGGTGCCTTCTCCATGACCACCAGCAGCATAACGATGGAAGTGATGGTGGTGACACAGGCTTTCATGTGGCTGGGATCACAGGACTATTCCCGAGTGTGTGTGCTGAGTGATTCTTTGAGCTTGATCCGGCGGGTCGAGGCAGGCTGGTTACGCAGACAGTGGCTTGAGTCGGTGCAAAACTCTCCTGTATGTGCAGTTACCTTTATATTCGTCTCAGGGCATGCAGGTGTTATTGGTAATGAGAGAGCTGATAGTCTGGCAAGTTCTGCATTAATTGAAGATGGCCAGCCCATTGATCACGCAGACATTCTCATTGCCCTTAGAGAGATAGGACGTTCTGAGGATTTTGGAAGCAACGTGTCCCCATTACTTCTAAGAATACGCGAATTGGGAGTAACGATTGGAACAGCCAAGCATGAGAAGTACACCGGACGAACAGGAAGTCTTGTTAACCAACATAGGTCTGGTACTATTACCCCCACGACGCTGATGTATAGGTTGAGAGGGGAATCTGGGCGCCTATGGATGTGTCCGGAGTACAGTGAAGATAATCTAACTCATAACTCGTGCTGATCTATACTGGAGATTTCCAGATATTTGTTTAAGTGTGAGGACACGACTTTCGAAACGCACTGTAGAATGGACGTGTGGAGATGTAGATAGGTCTCGACCAGTGTCAGCCCTAATCCTCGTGCGCCACCATGTTTTGGTTGAACACTTTTGCATCCCGACTGTGTCTCTGCTTATATAACTGTGAGTCTGTCTATGTGTCTGTCTGTATAACTGTCCATCTGTATAGCTGTCTTTATGTCTGTCTATATGTCTGTATTTTTTACTGTCTGTATGATTGTCTGCATAATTGTCTGTATGACTGTCTGTATGACTGTCCGTATGACTGTATGTATGACTGTATGACTGTCTGATTACTGTTTGTATGTCTGTATGACTTTCTGTATGACTTTCCGTATGACTGTCTGTGACAAGGCGTTGGTCACTGTGATACGACATTCCTCATGCCGACGAAGAACAGAACAAAGTAACTAGTTAAAGTATCTGGCTTGTGCCAAGGGAACTTCAGGATACAATGATAGCCTCCAACCTTCATGGTTCGTCCATCTCAAGTGATGAAGACACCTTTGCAATCGAACGTGATTGACTGGATGAAAGTGACTTGCGCAATCACTTGCTGTTAAGTGAGGAAAAAGTCAGCAATGCGTCCAGCTCCCTCCTGCCTGTGTCCATCTCGATCCAGTGGCAGGCAAGTGTCGACACGATTTTTTTTTTTTTTACGTATCCAGAAACCATGAGTTGTAAACCCTTTGGCTCGGTACTATGGATATCGCAACCCTTCGGCATTGATTCCATTATAGGTACCGTTAATCTGGGAGAAATGGAAATGACTTATTTGCGACGAATGACTCGCACGCCTTGCTTCAAGCACTCCAGTCTGCTGGTAACTGCCATTTTTTTTCCCGTTGAACAAAAAGCGGTTTCATCAATTTTATTGACATATCATGTGTTGAAGCCGAAAGGCGCAGATATCGCGGCTTCTCTCTTAACCACAATACAACGTAGCAAGCACCCTTCAAAAGGCGACCGGAGAAGTCGATGTTTCAGCAGAGAATAGATGTTTAACCAAGGGGACCTAGCCTAACTTTAACAAGTTAAAAACAACTAGTTGTTGGATTACTGCCCTTGTCTCAAAATTAATAAGTTTCTTCTACTTCTTCTTCTTCTTCTTCCTCTGCTTCTGCTGCTGCTTCTTCTTCTTCTTCTTTTTCTTCTTCTTAGCCTTCACCGGCTGCAAACTCTGGCGGAAAGTTCTGGTTGTTCGTCCATTTATCTGGAACTTGAAATGTGCATTTTACATTTGTCTTATTTGTGTGCAGCCTGTTGGTTCGTCGCCTCTCAGGCTGATACACTCAAACTTTGACTTCAACACAGTGCTTATAAAACGTCTTTTTTTTTAAAGCTGCACTCCACCTAATGTCGGGAGCACTAATATAACCTAACGGATGAACTGGGTTTCTGGGACTTGTGCCAGGGTGATTCTCATCCGAATGGTGGCACTTTGTGTCATCAGGTGTTTATCCCTCGCTGCTAGCTCCAGGTGTGTGGTTGACCGTAACTCCCTCACTACACAATCTGTCCACAATATCATAAAGGCCGAGTACTTAATCCTGTAAGTCACTTGGGCCCAAGCTTTGCAAAGGCTGCTTTGAAACAATGAAATATGTTGAAGCTATCCACAGTTCTTGCGGTAGATATTGTGTGTCTGAGACCGCTTCAAAACACATTTGGGACAAAGCTTTAGCGTAGAGTGTCTTCAAGTCCACAATGCTTTAGCATAGAGTGTCTTCAAGTTCACAAAGCTTTAGCATAGAGTGTCTTCAAGTCCACAATGCTTTAGCGTTGAGTGTCTTCAAGTTCACAATGCTTTAGCATAGAGTGTCTTCAAGTTCACAATGCTTTAGCGTAGAGTGTCTTCAAGTTCACAATGCTTTAGCATAGAGTGTCTTTAAGTTCACAATGCTTTAGCATAGAGTGTCTTCAAGTTCACAATGCTTTAGCGTAGAGTGTCTTCAGGTTTACAATGCTTTAGGATAGAGTGTCTTTAAGTTCACAATGCTTTAGCATAGAGTGTCTTCAAGTTCACAATGCTTTAGCATAGAGTGTCTTCAAGTTCACAATTCTTAAGCATATAGTGTCTTCAAGTTCACAATGCTTTAGCGTTAAGTGTCTTCAAGTTCACAATGCTTTAGCGTTAAGTGTCTTCAAGTTCACAATGCTTTAGCATAGAGTGTCTTCAAGTTCACAATGCTTTAGCATAGAGTGTCTTCAAGCTCACAGTTCTGTAGCATGGAGTGTCTTCAAGTTCACAGTGCTTTAGCGTAGAGTGTCTTCAAGTTCACAATGCTTTAGCATAGAGTGTCTTCAAGTTCACAGTGCTTTAACGTAGAGTGTCTTTAAGTTCACAATGCTTTAGCATAGAGTGTCTTTAAGTTCACAATGCTTTAGCATAGAGTGTCTTTAAGTTCACAGTGCTGTAGCGTACAGTGTCTTCAAGTTCACAGTGACCTGCTGGTCGCTAGGCTGGATTAGAGAAGTGTTACGAGACAGAAAGTCCAATATGACAACTAAAGAAATCAAAATAATTCATCAGCTTGTCCACCAAATCCAGTGGGTGAGCAGAAGTACTGACAAAACAGATCACGAAACGGCACTGCACATTCAGTGTTCAGCTGCACTGAGCGAAATTTGTTCTTTCACTGCATTTTTTTGCCTCTGAAATACGTACTTTCAGGATTGGCTGTTCAGGAACCGAGGTTTTGTTCGGCAATCGAGACCCTCACCCACATTGTTCAGAAGTCAGGAATTTTTCCACACAAGAATGTGTTCGAATACTCTAAGTCACTTTGATTCAAAACAAAAGATAAGTCTTAAAACTGCAGCTGAAAAAAACAATCTGTTTATTTAATCACGAGCTTTCTTGGAAAGCTCAGCGTTAAACAGATAGTGGCTACTACCGAGTGTACAACAAACAAATGAACAACTGTATGCATTCGTGTCCGTGTAGACTGTCCGACAGTTCTAGAATTAACAGTTTGAACATTATTTTGTTAAAGCTTTTTGGAGTCAATCTTGGTAGTGGCTGCGATGATGGGTGTTACAAATGACTGTTGTAATTGTATGTTCGAAATTAGTGTTGCAAATTAATGTTACAAATGACTGTTGCACGTGAATGATAGAAATTACTGTTGTAAATTAATGTTAAAATTATTGTTGTAACTGGATGTGGCAGCTGAATGTTGTAACTGGGTTTTGGAAGTGACTTGTAAATGGTTGTTTGAAGTGACTGTTGGTAGTCGCCGTTTCGATGGGTATTCCGAACGACCGTTTTAAATTTGTTTTGTAAATGAATGTTGTAAATGAATGTTGTAAATGAATGTTGTAAATGAGTGTTGTAAATTAATGTTGTAAATGAATGTTGTTAAATGAATGTTGTAAATGAATGTTGTAAATGAATGTTGTAAATGAATGTTAAAAATGAATGTTTGGGTATTGGAAGTGACTCTTGTACATGAACCTTAGAAATGATTGTTATAAACGAATGTTATAACTCATCTTTGTAAGTCGAGTTAGAGCTGACTATTGTAAATGGGTGATGGAAAACTGTATAAGATGAATATTAAAAATGATCTGTAATTGGGCCATCCGAGATGACTTGTAAATAAGTGTTTTTAAGTGATTGCTCTATAAGAATCTTAGAAGTGATTGTAGTAAATAAATGTCAGAAATGATTGTTGTATGTGAATGTTAAAAGGGAGCTTTTTTTTTTTTTTTTTTTGTAAATAAGAGTCGGGACTGGCTGTTGATGGTTTCGGATGAGACAAATTAAATGTCATGCTGCATGCTGAAAGGAAAATAAGCCTGCACTTGTGGTCGTCTAGCTACTTGCAGCTGCATGAGCTGCCACACTTGCAGGATGTTGGTCCAGTGCATTCCTTGCCACACTTGCAGCCTTCATCTGTGAAACATTGATGGAGAGTTAGGATGACCACAAATAACTGCAGCTGAAAACTGAACAAACCATTAAAATTAGGGACCGAAAACAGGACATCAAACGCAACTCCGTTTCAATCCACCTCCCACCTTCCCCCCCCCCCCACCCACTTTTTTTTAAAATTAGGTCACCAGGCACCTGTAGTGGCTAATTACTGATTTGAAATGGTATTGAAGCCCCAATCATCTCTTTCCACGGCCGGGACACACCAAAAAAACGGAACTGTGCTGGTGAAAACGGTATGTATGGTTACCCTGTGACGGGTGAAATGTTGGTGGATGATGGAACTGTGATGGGCCATTAAATTTGACAGAAGTTGAAAATGACATCTGATATTCTTGTTTCACCGAGTAATTTGGATACAAATTAACAATCATCATACCCTCAAAGGTCTATGGTTACACACGGCTGGTGTGGCTGTTTCTACGGCCCTAACTATAACCTTCGTGGAGGTAGAATTAGGCTCTGGGTTTGCCCTGTTGGTCTCATGTTATTTACTCTCGTGGTGTCAAACCTTTAGGTTGTGTTGGTCTTCCATCCAGATTGAGAATTTACGATCTCAGTGCGTCAAACTTTTCAAATACCAGCATGGAAAGGATAACCAACATTCATTCACACGTGAAATGGTAAATTGTCATGAATGTTTCTTTGATATGGTTGAATGGATTTATAGTGATGTTAAAGATCCATCAAACAATAAGCAGAGCAAGCAACACGACATGAAAAGCACTGGCTACAACAGCCAGTACAGAACAGGAGTTGTCAGCAGAAACAAAACATCCTAAGAATCATGAAAAATTTGTAGGTGGTCATGTATCTTAGTACACTTGTTTCCTTAGCCAGGTGCATCCGCCATTTGTAGGTGACAGGTTAGATTACTGGCACGTCAACATTCCATTGTCCTTCTATGTGTCTACTTCTTTCTATGTGTGCAAATCAATACATTATCCGTTCATTATACACAAGAAAATCGAAGCACATATCGCAGCGCTTTTTAAATTTGCGTTCATTTCTACTTGTAATAATCTGTTAAACTAATATATGTATATATTCAGTTTCATTATAAACTGAAGAAAAAAATGTTACTAGATAAGAAACAAAAAGCCAAGGGTGTTATGTTACACAACACTTTAATTTATGTGGATGGTTTTTCTCCAAGTTCTTGTAAATTGTGCTTGGTATTTATCTTTTTTTTTCCCTCCACTCTGTAATAACATTTATGGTTAACTTAATGTCATACGGGGGAAGGGGGTGCATAGGAGTCTTACCATATATTTCACAAAACCGCTGAAGGACGGATTCGCCAGATATGCATTTAAGAATTGCCTGAAATAAGCAACGAACAATGTGATACATTGACTTGAAAAAGCCTCAAACTGTGGCTTGTGAACAAGAGAGACTATACTGTGGAACGCAATGTGTGGCTTCAAAAACAGAATCAGTTAATAATGATATAATTTAAACTCAGGATAAAACTATCCTAGAATATATTACAAATATTGTCGAAGATGGAGGTGATAAATAAAAGCGTGACTCACTGGTACATTTGCAAGTCTTGCAGTCTGCACAGGTACAGCCCTCCCCACACTGGCACTTCTCTCCGCACTGGCAAGGGTTGCTCTGGCACTCTGCGGTACAGCGTTCTGTAACATCACAAAAACAGGTGATAACAGTACCAGCGGTAGTGATAACAACACAGTGATAACAGCACACTGGTACACAGCAAAGTGATAACAACACAGTGATAACAGCACGCTGGTATTCAATAAGGTGATAACGATACAGTGATAACAGCACACTGGTACACAACAAGGTGATTACGAAAGTGATAACAGCACACTGGTACACAACAAGTTGATAATGACACAGTGATAACAATGTATTGATACACCATAACACAGTAGCGAAACATGAATAAGAAGTCTTCAATAATAACGCATTTGGAAAACTCAGTGATCATCACATAATGATAACAAAACCGTGGTAACCGCAGTGAGGATAACATAATGCTAACAAAACAATGATCACAATACCTTTATAAGAACTCTTCAGTAACCATGCAGTGAGAAAACACAGAAAAACATGCAATGATAATAACATCCTCCTAACAACACTGTAGTAACAACACAACAGTAAAACACAGCGATAACAATATCATGGTCATAACACTGTGAAAACAACACCCATCGGAGGGAAAACAAACAGTGATAACACGAGGCTGTTACACAAGGCTGATACACAAACCGTATCACACACACACACACCCACACACACAAACACACACAGACAGACACACACACACAACGGAGACAACAACAGCTGCGCCTGATCAAATATGTTGGGGGGGGGGGGTAAGGAAGCCACCCACAAGAAGAAGAAGAAGAAGAAGAAGAAGAAGAAGAAGAAGAAGAAGAAGAAGAAAACATTTGACCAGCCTAATGAGGCAATTACAGTCCATTCACTTTGTGAGTGTGGTGTTTAGTTTCTTGTTGTTGTTCTGCCGATGAAGGTTAATCACCGCAACGTCCTCTGTTCGTTTATTGTACGTGTTTTTGTAAAGTAACGGACCCTTTTCCACACCTTTAGATGTATTGGGCATATAGGGCTAGTCTTGAATTTTATAGCTCAGTGGGCACTCGGTGGGTAGATGTGGTTGATATCACACCAGGCGCCTTTAAAGCGGACATATATCTTCTTCTTCTTCTTGTTCACCGGCTGTGAATTCCGGCGGTAAGTCACGGTTGTTCGTCCAAAATGGACTTTTGGCTTTTACCTTGACCTGAGTTTTGCGTGTACATCCGTTTTACTGGCTTATTTGTTTGCAGTACTCGTTCCCCGCCTCTCCGGCAGATGTACTCCGACTTCGGAGGAAGACGTCAAGCCTATTACTAGGTTGACTGTGGCCATTGTTTTGTGTGGGTCGAGATGTTGCCTTATTTGTGTGGTGTCCTCTTTGACTTTTAACAAGTGTGGCCCCCGGCATGTCGTCCTTAAGGCAGCTCCATGTAGAGTTTTCAGCCCTCAAGGGAAGGCAGGGGCAGATCATGGGCATTCCCCGCCATCCAAGGAGGCTTCCATAAATGCAGAGCCGACACATGATGCTCTGGGTCTGGGCTCACCCAAGGAATCGTCACGTCCTGCCCCGCATGACTGCTTAACCTCACAACCGTGTATTGAGCTTCCCGCGCTACAAGGGCTGCGCTCTCCGGAGATCAGCGGGGGAGCAGCCCGCAGGTCTAGGACGTTTGTGGCCACACAAATAGGTACATTCTTTTTCATCTTACGTTAGACACCTTTAACGTTGTTTCAGCTGTGCCCTTAGCACGACAGAATGGGGAAGCAAAATGCGTCAGGCGTGGCTTCACCTGTTTGGTCCCAACACTCGGGCGAGTTGGACCAGCGGATACGGACATTCAGACTTTTCCTAATCGGTACGAGTTATGATCGTCGGACTTTGAGCTTGCATGTGTGCCGTGGGGTGTAACTTTGTCGGACATTGTTTTCAAGCCAGCATATGAATAGTTGCTGCCATGGTCTACCTCAGCGCGGTGACGACGACACTGAGGATTGACAGAGGATGTACGTAGGTGGGATCTTGCTGCGAGAAGTCGCCCACAAGAGATGTTACTCGTCTTGGCTGCGGGTAAATCTCTCGGTAAGGGTTGAGTCTCAGCAGCACCGTTTTCCATTCGCTCCCGAATTTTAACCAAGAGTTGTCATTTGATGGTACATTTAGCAAGCAGTCCTTGAGTTTTGTTACTTTTCACCCATGCGTTTGGGGGCGGGCTGGTGAGAGCCAGAAAGGACACTACACCTCTAGGGGCCGCCAGCTCCGAGATCCCCTGCCAACTCTGTTAATGCTCATTTGAGACATTATCCGTGGCGCACGACGGGGACGTGCAACAGGAGTCTTGCATGAGGTTCCGTAAAACCAGAACAGTGAAGGACTGGCGCCCGAGTGGGGTACGGAATATCTCCTTATACACATCACATCAGACTTAACTTCCCCTCATGCCTGTGACCGAAATCACCGCGCCACGGACATATATAATATTGTTACCTTTTTCTATCTTTTTTTTCTTCTCTATCGTTTGAAATGCTTTTTTTTTTTTTTTAGATCTCATGTAGTTGTCTAAATACCAGAGATGAGATACAAAGGAGAAGAATTTTATCTTAGTGCTTTAAAATTTGCTAGCTGATTAGGTGAATATAGCCCCGTGACGGCTTCGTTGCCACAGTGGGGAGGGGGAGGGGGGATCTACCCCACCTCACGGCACTTTTATAAGCATGTCATGAGAGTAGAGTTTATAAGTGCTTCTGTCCAAGTCGGGTGCATCTGCCTGAGACGCAAGGAACCAACTGTCTGCATACAAGTAAACCGGTTCTGAAGAATGAATTTGTACATTTTGGAACAAGACTAAAGTCCAGAAGTGGACGAACAACCAAAATTTTCCGCCGATTTTATAGCGCTTGAATACGAAGAAGATAAACATAATTTTTAAAATAAAATTCAATCTTACGAAACAAAATAGTACAGCACAAAAACTCACCTCCTTTTCCTTTGCCACTCATTGTGCGAATGTAAGATGTCAGAAAACGTAAACAAGATAACGAGAGGTGTAAATCTGGCCTTGTAGATGTAGATGTCTCGCCACAGATGAATGAACTGTCGGGGACTGTGGTGTATTTATTGCGCTGCGGTCTTGCACACGACCAGACAAAGTCTATCACAGATAATTGTATGCACATGATTGGCTTCTGCACACGGCCGCAGTACGTGACTTATCTGCTTCAGCTGATCTGTTTGGTTGTCAACGCCATGCATTAAACAAGGCAATAATAGAATGTGGCTTAAAGGCTAGTGAATGTGTTTAACAATTTCATAATCCTAGAGTAACAGGGGTTGGCATTCAGGGGCAGACAAATTATATTACAAGAAACAGAAATCTCTCGTCGCATTTGGACAGTAGTACGTACGAGAGTTCTACCGTGGAAGAGATAGGGGCCTCGCCACATAATATCGCCAATTCCCTGTGTGGGTTCCGGGGCCCTATTATAGGGAAAACAAGAATTGACCCACTGCCTACCCAAAAGAATGGCCGTAATAGTCGACTTATTGGGAGCTTCCTTCGAAGTCAGACTGCATCTGCCTGGGAGGCAAGGAACTAGCCGTCTGCATACAAATTAGTCAGATCTGTCAAACGGATGCACACGCAACTACACTCAGGTTCTAGGACAGGACTGCAGTCCAGGAGTGGACGAACAACCAGAACTTTCCGCTAGTTTACAGCTGGTAAACGCGAAAAGAAGAAGAAGAATATCGCCAATGACAGCAGTGGGATCCAGTGTTCGGTACGATACAGTGTCATTAGACTACTTACGCTTTCTAGGGCGTACGATGAACAACTCAGTGGAGTCGTAGAGTTTATTGAACGCGTTTCACACTCCGCGACTTATTGTAATTTTTCTTCTTCTGCATTCGCCCTCTAAGTTGGTTTACGTCAAGGCTGCGATATCTGCGCTTTTTTCCAGCCAGCACATCCCCATTTTAACTCATCTTTACTTGGTCGCATTTCACGACATGATTGTTAAGAGGTTAGACGTTTATTATTTCATTGCCTTGCCGTGCGGAGCTCTGATACACACATGGACAAGCACCATAATTTGACTTCTACTGCAGCAATTTTAAATATTTTTTATATCATCGTCGGCTCTGTGGCTAAGTCGATGCAAACGCTTCGTAAAGTTCGGGTGCCAGCCGCAGCACAGGCGCTTTGCGTTGGTTTTGATAGTTGTATCCAGGGGCCGACCGTCCAGTGGCAATGGCAAACTTCTGGACGTAAATTTGCCTAGAGAAACCATCCAACAGCCAGGGGCTTTTGGGTTGGTTCTGCAACGTCCTGTAAAGGAAACGCAACTAACCTTAAAAATATATATCATCATCTATCAAGTGCCTTGCCAGCTGGCACAGGCGTTCATAAATTTTCACAAATCTCGGTCTTTGGTGTTCTGGATCAGTTCCACTGATGATATTCCTCCATGCCACTGTCTTAAGCCATCCATCATCAATTCTCTTGATCTGCCTCTGCCTCTCTACCAGTGATCTTTCCAGTCGTCACGATATTTTCCAGTGCTCCTTTTCTCATTACATGACCCTTTGTTTGTCTCCTTCTCGTTGTTGTATGTAATGTTTTTCTTTCATTAGCCATTTTCGTGCATTCATTGTTGGTTATTCTTGCAGTCCACGGTATTCTCATTCTTCTTCTTAACAACCACATCTCATTTGCCTCCAGACTCTTCTTAATTCCGAGATTCACTGCCATACAACAGAACAGGCTCGTTATAACATTTCAAAACTCGCTTTCTGATGTTTAATAGTTAGTTAGTTGTTCCTCTTGTGCCAAAGATGGCGCATAGGGCAGAGGTCATAGCTTTCCACGTCTGTCGGTTCTTTGCCACTTGATGTAGGTCTTTTGTGCGACTGAGACCTATGGTTGAGCTCTCCCTTGTGATGGTTCTACGGAGAGTTTCTTTTGGTCTTCCCTGTTTTCTTTTACCCTCTGGTGACCATATGAAGGCTTGGTGGGGAAGTCTCTGTATGTCCATTCTGAGTACGTGACCGATGTAATTCCAGCGACGCATTCTAATAAAATCAGACACATAAAGTGATTTATTAAATAAAATACTTTTCATCTTCTGAAAAGCTGCCTTTGTCTGGTCAATTCTGCTCCTAATTTCTGTCACATATCGTTCATCTGATGTCATGAATGTTCCCAAATACTTAAACTCATTGACTGGTTAATAAGCACTTTCCATTCTATTTCTATGTCACATTTTAGAGTTACTTTTTTCTTTGTTATAACCATTGTTTCATTTTATTTATATATACAAAAACAAAACAAACAAAAAAGACAGTTTTGGGGGCTTTAAGACAATGTATGGTAAGGTGTACTCCGTGACGAAGTGGTCAAGCCGCTTGCCTCACGCTCTGAAAGTCGTGGGTTCGTTTTATGGCGACGCCGTTTAGTTCACGAGTGCATTTTTTTACGGTTTTACGGAGATCCCTGGAGGTCGTTCCAGGAGCTACGAAGTTCGTTCTCTGTGCGATATTCTCAGCAGGTGCCAGCCATTCTGCGGAGAGAGGCCAGTGGTACAAGATAAGTCATGCTTCTTAGTATAAACACACAGACAGTGAAAGGTCTGAAAGGTAGGACAGAAACAGAACAACAGAAACAGAATAACAGAAACAGGATAACAGAAACAGGATAACAGAAACAGAATTACAGAAACAGAATAAACAGAAAGCCAGACAAACCTAATGACTA